GATTGCTCATAGAAGCTGTCACCACCCATTTAAGGCTCGTCAGCCCCTGTGTTGCAGTTATAAGACACCAGCTGCTCTTCTGCTCCTGGGCTTTGAGTTCAGGTAGGCCAAGGGCACATTCTACATGCTTCAGGCATCCTGAAGTCCTTTATGTGTTGCTGGTGATTTCACTTTGCTCACTGGATGAGAGAAGTGTATGGAAGAGCAGAAAAGATCAGAGGTCACATTAACATAAAACATGGAATTGGGGGCTGTAAGACTGATGCCCCATAATCCCCGAGGAGTGCAGCTAGAGGAGAGGGACCTGGAGATCACCCTCTTTCATCTTGTTTCTCTTGTCCACTTGTTACCGACCTTGGGTTTTTAGGCTTTCTATGTAATAGAAATTGACAAGACCAAACCATAAGCTCAGACAAGGTTCATTGAGGCTTATGCTTGAGCACAAGGGGATAGTAAGACAAGTTCTTTGGCGGGCTCTCCAAAGGAACCCTCTAGGGTTGTTATGTAGGGCAGAGTGAAGGAGGGCTTGACATCAGCGGGGGTGATCCTCTCTTTTCCTGGTCATGGTGCTTGCGCAGACACAGGCATGCAGTCGATGCCGAGGTCTTGGCACCTGCTTGGTAGGCCTAAAATGGTGGTGCTGCTCATTATCGCCACGCCAGGAAGATTGTACAGCGCTCAGCTCAGGGTTGCGTACGCATGCAGATGTGGGTATCCACTGCCTTGGGGAAGTTTTGCTGCTGGAAAGTTACATATCTCTGCCTGTCTCACACTATCTGTCCTCGTTGCCCCTTACCTCTGTGTGTGTGTCCTCTGTCTTCATGTCAGTCCATGTGCTCCCACCCCTTAATCTGTCCCTTCTCATCACCTTCTCCTGGGTCACTTTGCTGTCTCTTCTGACCCTTCTCTTCCTCTCCTCCCAGAAACCATTCGAAAATATTTTGGTAATGTATACTAACTCAGTCTTAGGGGTACTTCTCTCTCTTCTCTTTTTTTTACTCCTGGTAAAATACACTGTCTTAGCTCAGCTTGCCATAACAAAATACCATAGACTGGGTGGCTTAAAAAACAGAAATTTATTTTCTCACAGTTCTGGAGGCTGAGAAGTCCAAGGTCAGGATGGTAACATGGTAGGTTCAGATGAGAGCCCTCCTCCTGGCTTGTAGATTGTGTCCTCACATGACAGAGAGAGAGCAAGCAAGTGCGAGCTCTCATGTCTCTTCTTATAAGGGTACTGTTAAAAAAATTCAGTGGAGTAAATTTCAAGATCTAATTGGCTTTATTAAACAGTTCATGAATTGGGGGGCATCCCATCTAGCAACTGAAAAGGCTTTCCCAGAGGTTATAGAAAATGGAAGGTTTTTATAGGAAGGTGGGGCAAGGAAGCTATTAGCGAAAGAAAAGAAAGGATTATTTTTGGACCAAGATATCTTCTTTTATGGGCAAGGGAATGACAAGTGTTTTTTATCATTCAGATTGCTGCTGCTTTCTTTGGGGGAGGAAATGGAGGGGAACCATGTGATTGACCAGTAGATTCCAGACCGGTTGATTAAAATTGTATTTCTGGGAGAAGTTGAAACACTATTTTGGTCAGGTATTAAATCTAGGTTTGGTATCATGGGCTTTCGCATGAATGATGCTGTTTTAGGCCTCTAGTTTTCTCTTTAATAGAACTAATCCCATTTTGAAGGCTGGACCTTCATGACCACATGTAAACCTAGTTATTCCCAAAGGCCCCATCTCCAGACACCATCACATTGCGGGTTAGGGCTTCAACATATGAATTTGGGTTGAGGGACACAATTTAGTCCATAGCATCCACATAATTTAAGATGTACCATTTTAAATGCTTTTAAGTGTACAATTCAGTGGCATTTAGTACATTCACAGTATTTTCACAATAATCACCACTATTCATTTCTAGAACTATTTCATCATCCCAGACAGAAACTTTGTAGTCATTAAACAATTGTTTCTATTCTTCTCAGCCCTCAGCCTCTAGTAACCACTTGTTCTACTGTCTCTATGAATTTGACTATTCTAGGTACTTCATATAATGGAATTATGCAACATTTCTCCTTTTGTGATTGGCTTATTTAATTCACCATAATATTTTCGAGATTCATATTGTAGCATGTATCAGAGTTTCATTCCTTTTGAAGGCTGAATAATATTCCATTGTGTGGAATTTTGTTTATCCATTCATCTCTTGATATTGGGTTGTTTCCACTTTGGCTATTGTGAATAGTGCTGCTATGAATATTGGTGTACAAGTATCTGAGATGTTGCTTTCAGTTCTTTTGGCCGTATAACTAGGAGTGGAATTGCTGGATCATATGGTCATTCCATGTTTAACTTTTTGAAGAACTGCCAGACTTCCACAGTGGCTGTACCATTTTACATTTCCACTAACAATGCACAAGGGTTCCATTTTATCCACATTCTTACGAGTCGTCGTTTATTTATTTACTTTTTATAATAGCCATCCTAATGGGTACGAAATGGTTTGGGAAAGGAAGAAACTCCTCTACTCCCTCGGTTCTTTCTGCTGGTCTAATAATTTACATGAAACAAATTGACAAGAGAAAATAATTTAATTACATATGTACGTATAGGAACATCACATACATGAAAGTCAGAAACCTTGCATATATGAGATGAGACAGAAAGGGAAAATGAGATATATATAGCATTTTGAGCTAAGGATGAGGTGAAGCACTTTGGGGCTTCAGAGGGTCATTGCAGGATAAGAAGAACAGATGTTAGGTAGTTTGCCCTGCCATATAGATAGGTCAAAAAAGTTTATCTCAGATGATCTCTTATTATGGGCAAGGCCCCCTAATTCAAATTCTTCTGGGTAGGTAAGGGGAGGATAGCAGTGTCTCTTGAGCCCAAAGGGTCTCGGTTGCCTTTAGCAGAAAATAATCTACATGCCACAGCGGTATATCTTGGGGTAACTCATTCTTAACCCCTATAGTTCTGTCTCATTGTGATTTTGATTTGCATTCTCTAATGACCAGTGATGGTTGACCATCTATTCACATGCTTATTGGCGATATATATGATATATCATATATATATATATATATAGATAGATAGATAGATAGATAGATAGATAGATATAATATATATGATAGATATATATGAGATATATATATATATGATATATCTATATATATATAAAGAGTTCTTTATATATATAAAATATATATCTTCTTTGGAGAAATGTCTATTCAGGTTCTCTGCTTATTTTTTAAATTAGGCGGGTTTTTTTGTTGCTGAGCTGTAAGAGTTCTTTATATATTCTGGATACCTGACTCTTATTAGCTATGTGTATTTGCAAATATTTTCTACCATTCTATTCTTTTCACTCTCTTGATAATATCTTTTGATGTATAAAAAGTTTTTAATTTTGATGAAGTACAGTTTATTTTTACTTTTATTGCCTGTGTTTTTTGGTGTCATATCCAAGAAGTCATTGCTGAATCCAATGTCCTGAAGATTTTCTCCTGTTTTCTTCTAAGAGTTTTATATTTTTAGGTCTTATGTTTGTCTTCCAGTTTTTACACCGTGTAGGATTAGAGTCTGACCCTGTTCTTCTGCACGTGGACATCCAGTGTTCCCACCACCATTGTGATTGTCCTTTTCCCATTGAACAGTATTGGCGCACCTGTTGAATCAATCTCATTCTTTTTTAAGTAACAGAAATGATATAATACTTTGATAGAATGTTAAAAAAACAGAGGATAGTCATGATTCCCACCTATTCTCACCGTGTCTGTGATTGCATAGTCACGGACTTTGTCTCTATTTTTAGATGGATACACCTGTTTTGTATTTTGCCTTTTTTACCTTATGTGTATTGCTACATGCGATTTTGCCTGACTGCTTGAAAGCACGTTAAGTGGCTGTACTACTACAGTCGATTCTGGCGCAGCGGTAGTTTTTGCCATTGTGGATGATGTAGAGCACATCTTTCTTTGCACATAGGCCTTTTCCTCAAGGTGAATGCCTACGTGTAGAATTGCTGTCTGAAAAGGTTTGGACACCTATACAGTTTGTCGTGTGTGTTCGGCTTCTAAAACTTGTTTTTTGTTGCTAAGCCGTAGTTGGCATTGTTGAGCACGTTAACCACACTGGATATTAGCAAAACAGAAGTTGTCATAGATGAACATGATTCTTTTTTTCTTGAGTTCACGCATTCATTCAAACCTTTGAGCACCTATAATGCCAGGCTCTGTTGAGATGCTGGGGATCCACTCGTGGATTGAACAAGAGTTCCTGTCTTTATTAGTGGGTAGACAGATAAGAAACAAACGGACACTTGGACATATCAAGTGGTTGAAGTGTCATGGAGAAAACATAAACAGATAAAGGGCACCGGTAAGCCAGGCTGGGACTGAGGCAGTCAGGGAAGGAATGCCTTGCTTGATACCACATGACCAGAGACTGCATTAGCAGAGGGGAGAGCCAAGGGGCATCTGAAAGGAGAGCAGTCTAGGCTGAGGCTTGAGATGGACAGAGTATGTTTGTCACTGTTGAGGAAGAGCAAAGAGCCCATGTGGCTGGAGGTGCAAAGAGAAGAAAGGTAGGAAAGCTGGAGGACCCCCAACACATTCGGCCTGTCTTATAAGTGAGGGTTGGGTTCTGGTCAGATGGCTCTGCCTGCTGTGGAGACAGACTGTAGGGGAGCTGGGGTGGAGGCAGGGGGCCTGCTTGGGAGACTCTTACAGTATCCCAGCAAGAAAAGGTAGGGGGTGGTGGGTACCATGGTGGGGGAAGGGACTCAATTTGGGTATTTTTGAGGGGAGGGCGGATAGGATGCACTGATGGTTAGGATGGGGGAAGAGGGGAGAAATGGAAAATGACTTATGGTTTTTGACTTGAGCAGATGGAAGAGTGTTAGTGGCTCTTCATTGACGGTCTCAGAGGAAATAGGGAACATCAAGACTGGTACCTTAATATGGTTTGTAATGTGCTTTTTAAAAATGTGAGTCCACTTCAACATTTTTCTCTTGTTTATTCTCTGTTTATATTGGCTCAGAGTACTTATAAATTGAACATTTAGACGGAATGGTACAGAACGAGGAACCCATGCTTCTCAGGAACAAGGCTCTCAGCCCTGGTGAGACCGCGAGGACGCTCCGCCCTTAGAGCAGGAGCCACAGGCAGGCAGAGATCAGGAGAGGAGGAGCTGCTTTCACGAGTTTCTTTTCAGGGCTCATAACGTCCTGGAAAAGCTTGGGGTTCATGGTCAGAGAGCCTGTTCATTCGGGCTGCCCAGGCCTGGCATTTGGCCTTCAGGAGGAGAGTGGTCGACACGGGCCTCTGCAGAGAGCTGGCTTTGAGTGAACAGCACACACGGGAGGGAAGGCAGCCAGGTGTGCCTGGAGCTGTGGTAGGTTCTGCATTTGTGTGGCAGTTATGATTTCAGAGATGCTGTCCTTTCGTCCCCATAAGTCAAAAAGGGGGAATAAAGCCTTCGTTCAGTATTTCTTAATGAGAAGGGTGGAAGGTGTGTAGCATCTGTACACCTAAAGTTACCGGGTGATGTCAGATGTCAGGTGTTTTGGGGAGTGCACAGTAACAGGGTTCCTCTGAGCGTCTAGGATGACATCTGGTGACAGATTCTCCTTGGTCTCTGGTATTTCTGAGGTGTTCTTTCTGCCTTGATCTGAGGACAGAGGTGCATATTGTGGGAAAGCTGGCCTGATGGAAATGGGGGACCCTTTGGGGAGGAAGCAGTCCACACAGCTCTTCTTTTGCAAGCCTCAGAGGTAACTCCATGGAGATGGGAGGGCCTGTAGCTGCAGAGTGGTTGCAGTGTAGCTGAGCCGTGGTTGGCAGTCGGCCTATCCCATCAGGCACAAACACTGGCCCCCAGCCAGGGGCCAGGCAGACAGAGTGCCGGATACACCTTGGCCGAGTGCTTGGGTCTTGAGTTGCTATGTGTGAAGCAGCAGCAGCAGGTGTGTGGGTTACCATGCAAGCAGCTCCTGCTTGCTCCCCCACACCTCAGAGCAAGAGAAGTGCTGTGTGGGGAGCATGGGCTTGGGTTTTTCTCCCCAGTAATAGGATTTAGAGCATTTCCTGTGTTTTAAAGCAAACACCCTTGATCGAACAGTTGTTAGTGTTTTATCATGTCTGCTTTTTCTCTTTCTATATAATTTTTCCTCTGAACCATTTGCAAATACATTGCTGACCCCTAAGTACTTAAGTCCACATCTGGGCACAATAATAATGCCATTTTTTTTCATTTGAGCCTGGCCATGGGGGCTTATGATGAGGTCAGAGTTGTTCAGGAAGCGGCCGTGTGAACAGGCCTGTCAGGACGGGCTGTGTTCCGTGCTCACTCTCTCTCTCTGTTAGCACTACTGCCTTATTCTAGCCTCGGTTTAGAATTTTTCAAATATGTGGTGCAACCTTTCAGTTTCTGAAAAGGAATAAAGACAGATCACTCCATCCATTCTTGCACATTGCCCTGTGTCCTCATTTTTGCCCGCCCACTGCCCAGAGCCCTATCTGCCTGCACGCAGCGCAAAGCTGCGGTGTCCATGACCCTGGGCGGTAGTGAACATGTTCTGCACGTTTTTAAACTACGTACTTACTATAGCTTTATTCTTGTCTGCAAACAAGCTGCTATTAACTCCCTCGTAAAGTCGTTAAATGAGAACAATGTATGTCTAACTACCTGGTCCCCTGCTGGCAGGGAGCGGGTAGAGATTCAGTAAGTACTATCTTATTTTTCCCTAATAGGTGTTGAGAAAACAGTTGTGGCTGTTAAAATGGGCAAATAGTCAAGTTGGCAGGGAAGTAGATCTCCCTGCCTGCTCAGGTGCAATTTACTTACAGCCTAGCTCGTCCTCAGAGACTCTTAGGCTTGTTCTAGAGCAGGAGGTGAGCTCAGAGGCCTTGGGGCTCCTCCTTCACAGTAATGGTGGGAACTGTGGCAGCCACACCCCCAGGTAGCCCAGGTCCCTACTCCAGTCTTTGCCTCTTCCCTGCCTTCCTCAACCCCGGGACAGCTCTGTGTCTGTACCACTGGGGAACTGCTTCCCGTGGCTTTGAGCACAGTGTGTGGAGGAGCAGAGGACTCTGTCTGAAGATGTGGAACAAGACAAGGCTGAGCTCTGGGGCTGGAAAGAGTCCAAAGTGGCAACTCAGCCACCTTCAGGGCCCTTTCTGCTGGGCTTGCTCCACCTCAAAGTACTTTGTTTCCTTCATCATGCTGTAGGTGCCACCTCAGTTCCCCAGGGAGCTGCTGGAGAGGCTCTGCATGGGCTGTGGGGCATCAGAGAAGTCCTGTGGGCTGGTGGGACTGCTAAGAAACCTTTGCAAATACGAGGGCAGAATTTGGCAGGGCTGGGAAAAGCTCGTGGATGAAGAAATCGTCTGAGGGCATTTCATGCTAGTCCCGGCTCCTTGCGCAGTCCTCTGTGAGGCTGAGCCGTGAGACACCAGCCATCATAGATCTTTTCAAGGGGCCCAACCCGCCCCCAGGCAGTGAGAATTAGCAGAGAACACCTCCCAACCCTGTCCCACAGCTGCTTTGTTCCCTGGCACAGTTGTGCGTGAAATTCACTCTGTAGGGAGCTGCAGTGGTTGACCTAGAGAGGGAGGTTTGTCTACAGGTGTTGGCAGCCAAGTGGCCTGGAGCCTGCAGAGCCTTGCAGTGGCACTAGGTGGCACTCCTACCTAGGGAGGACTGGAAATTAAGGGGCCTCATTCAGTGTGGGAAAGTAAACTTACCAAAGGGTTTTTGTTTTTCCCAGAAATGATTTGTCAGCTGCTGTCAGGAATCTGGAAGGCATGTCCCTACTGGAACACCAAGTGGTGGTCAGATTAGAAGGTGGGGGACTGGTCTCAGGGCAGACCTTGGGCTGGTTTATGAGTTTTCTGAACACCAGTCACCTGATGGTCTTTGAGTGGTCATAAAGGAACTCTGAGAGATGACGTGGAGCCCCCAATTGGTCATTTTAGAGAGAAGAGTGTTGGCACCAGAGGCTGCTCAGCAAATGAGAAGCTGGGCTTTTAATACACAGACTTTTATTTTTCCTCTAAAGGTCTAACTGGGGCTGGGCCTGGTCTGGAAGTGCTGCAGGCTTTGGGGATGTCCACATAGTCTTCCCTGATCTTTCTGGTTCGGGTATTTCGTGTTGATAGGATTCTGTGTCAGCATCTTGTGTGTTAACTCCTTTTTATCCCATTTCTCGTGTTTGCTTGGAGCTCTGAGGTGAGAAGGGGTCTGAAGTCTCCCCAGCTCCGAGAATGCTGTGAGCCCATAGTGCTGGACCTCTGTATGGCTCTGTATGGCTCACCACCCCTGCCTCTCTGCTCCTATTGGTGCATTGTAAGTGTGCAATACCATGGAAGGCCTTGTGGTCTCCCTGTTGTCTCCCCTTCTTCCACTGCAGCATCCCAGGTCTGTAGGTTGTCATGGAGCACTTGGGCTGGGTCCAGATGAGGACAGGTGTGTGGGCTGTCTCTGTACTCCATTTTGTCCTTTCCAGGCTACCCTGGCCCAGCTGCCCATCCCTTCACAAGCCTGTAGGCTCTCTTCCTGTTCTGAGTGTTGCTATAGGAACTAAGTGCTCAGTGGTCAGAAGCTGGGGTTGGTTCCTTGTTGAATAGCCAAGAGCAATCTGAGGCAGTCTGACCAGTGGGTGGCGTGCTGCCCTGGGGCATGACCTGCACAGAGTAACCAGGCTCCTGAATTGCACTCTTTCTTTGGTTGAATAGTGTTCCCTATCAGATCCTCCCCCTCCTAAAAAATGTTAAGCTGGTTCATTCCATCCCATGTTGAGTTGGGGGGTATGGGGCTAGGGTGCTGACCCTGCAGGATGGGCCTCTGCTATCTAGTAGGGCAGAAAGACAGGGCACAGAATCACCATACAGGTTCTTCGTCCTGCGTGCTGGGCCCAGGGGCGAGCCTTGCCCCATGAATCTTGTTTGCTGGTCAGCACAGGAAAATTTGTATGTCAGGGGATTTTGTACATCAGGGCTGTGTCTGCCTGGAGGAGAGGAAGTGGGACAGGGTGTATGGCTGGGGGAGCCTCTGTCTTCTGGATGGGTTATGGGAAGGAGCAAGGACTTAGATATTAGATACCTTCTGTCGCTTAGAGGGCCAGAAAAGGTGGCTGCAGGTGGCCATTTGCTCAGTCTAGAGAAGCCTGCCAGCACCTGGAGGCCTGAGCCTGGCCGGAGGGGGAGCGGTAATCATGCAGCAGCCCCTGCTGCGGACAGACAGCTCCCAGCCCAGAAGGTGGGAGCCATCTCTGGGGAAGTCCCTGGTCGCCAGGGGGCTGTTCCCTTCTTCTCTCTTAAAGGGGCCCCCAGGGCGAGCGGGGCTGGAGGGCGGAGCAAAGCTCCCACGCTTAGTGTCCGCCCTCCTGCCCCCGCCCTGGCAGTCTGAGTGGCTGGAGCCCGAGCCTCCGCCCGCCAACCCAAGGCTTCCGCGGAGGAGCGGCACCTCCCCGAGTCCGCTGCGCCAGGAAGCCGATTGAGACGGGGCCACCTGCCGGTGAGTGAGCTGGGCTCCTTGGGGCCTGCCTGTCTAGCCTGAGAGGTGGCTTTTAGGTTCAGGAGGGCCATCCAGCCCCCTGCCTTTACAGCTTAGAGCCTGAGGCCCTGGTGCGAGGAGCCCACCCTACAGTCTAGACCAAGTTGTGGGCTTCTCCCGGCCCCACATGGCGGTCACGGGGCAGGCTGGATGAGCTCACTTCCTCCACGTCTTGTAGCATCTCCTGGCTTTAGGGCTGGGGAAAAGGGAAGTGCCGGCCCTGCTGGGGAAAAGGGGGTGGGGGTGCGGCTGCTCGGCCGCCAAGGCTGAGAGCTCTAACTGATTTTCTCAGTGCTGCCAAAAGGGCCCGGGGCAGGTGCCAGAGGGGGAGGGAGGTGGCACTGTTCCTCATTGGAACCTGGAGGTGCTGATACATATCACCATGTCACCTCCGAGGGCCGGGGAGGGGGTGACTTGCTGCCCTTCACCCCATTACCTGCTGGCACCAGGGATTGCTGGAGGAGGTTCCTTTCCTTTGGGAGAGTCCTGTCCCCACCTCCGCCCACCCTTCCCTGGGCCTCCTCAAGAGCCAGCTTGAAAGGTATCCTTGGGCCCATCTCTTTGCTTCCTCTTCTCTTGCCCAGGCTTCCCCAAGATGGCTTACCTGTTTCGCTGGAGAGATTCCTTTTCTATGTTCCCTACTTGTGAAGCTTTGTCTGCTTCTAGCCCAGGAATATGGGGGAGGGAGAGTTGGTGGCCCTGCCCGGACCAATCTGCCTTGGTTCAAGGGGAGGTGGGGCAGAAAGCAGCCCTGCCCTCCAGGGTGGGTGTGACCAGAAAGTCAGGCTGGTGGGCACATGCTGTGGGGGCCCTGGGGTTTCTGCTTAGGCTTCTGCTGACCCTGGCACCCAGTGAGATTTCAGGGAGCAGGAGCAAATTCTCTGGTGGTCTTAGGCTGAACCCCAGCAGAGAGCCTCACTTCCTCACTGCCTTTCTGGTCTTGCCAGGACTCAAACTTGAATCTACCAGGGTCTGAGAACCAGACCGGTGCCCACACGTGCCCCCCAGTAACTGGTAACTGGCCCGGATAGATCCACTTCAGGCGGAACATTCCATTCCACTGAGGGGGGGACTGTTCCTTTCATCCTGGTTAGTGAGAGATGAGTGGGGGCGTCGCAGCATCACTCCACGCGTAAACCTCCAGAACAGTATGTTTTGACAAAGGTTACTCCTCCCCTTACCCCTCACCGCCCCTCCCTGTTGCTGGAGCTCAGATCACACTCTAGACTGGGGAGAACGGAGGTTGGCTTCACCCCCTGGGAGATCCCTGGAAAAAGCTCCTGCTGGACAGCACAAAGATCCCTGCTCAGGGGACTCTTCCAGGCCAGAGAGGCCACCACTGCTGAGGCCCCATCAGTGAGCCCAGGGCTTAGCCTTCAGTTCCAGGCTCCTTTGAATAAAGTATCCCCCGGTCCTACTCACAGGGGCAGCCACTGCCCATAGGTTTGGGCTCCCCTTTAAAAACTGACACCTCAGCCCTGTCCCTTCTTCCCGGTGGAACAAACGTCTATCCCCCCAGAGCAGAAAGGGAGGTGAGGCTGCATCGAGCTCTTGCACGGAACTGAGGCAGAGGGTTTCAGAGCAGAGTCATTCTGGGCTTTGGTCACTGCTGTGATCCAAGACTGCAGGTGGGGAGCAAGGGGAATGGCCATTCCAAGAAGCAAGGCCTTTCCCTGCTCTCAGGTGTGGGAAGGCAGCCAGGATTGCAGTAACCAGAGTGTCCCTGTCCCCCACCAAATCCACTCTGAGTTCTCATGTTCTATGTGGCTGGCCCTTAGGCCTTGTAATGACTGGTCACAACCCCAAACTCATCTCCACAGTGTTTTTGAGACTCTCAGGAGGGAAGGAAGGTGTCCATACTTCCCTGCTTCAGGAACTTTCCTTGCAACTACCTCATCTGGCCTGGGCACCCTAGTCACACTCAGGGAGCTGAAGGGAGAGAAACTCCGGCTTGGGCTCCAAGGGCTGTCACAGGTTGGGATGGAAAGGGGTCTCCGAGATGGGTGGATGGGGAGGGCTCGAGCGCTGCTAGCTGAGAAAGTGAGAAGTGACCTCCTGGGACCCCCTTGCCTCTATCCAGCTGTGAGCTGGACAGATGGTGCCAGCCTCATTTCCTGGGGGACAACCGAATCCATGTCTGCTCCCTGAGGACCTTTTGGGGCCCATGGATGGTGATGTGGAAGAAGCTTGACACCCCGGTCTCAGTGTCCCGTTTAGAAGAGGTGGTAGAAGAGTGGCAGAGATGGGACTGAGTGGGTAAGGACCCCCGCCTGGCCCCTTAGGGCAGTTCCTAGTCTCCAGGACAGCAGCTCCTTGGGCTGGTCCCCCCTCTACTGTGTGTGTGGTGAGGAGGGTCTGCCCTGCCCCACTGGCTACCTGGCCAAGCCCCTGGGCCAGAGGCCCTGGGGGAGAGAGAATGAAGTGCAAGTGTGGGCATTGGCTTTGAGGACCCCTAGGCTTCAGGCCAAGCTGGGTTTGTCTGTGGGTTCCCGAGTATGCCTTTTTGACAGCATGCCGCAGTAGTCGCCATCCTGCATAGTAGGAAAGTGAGGAAAACTGGCAGGAGGAAGTGGGGGTTCCCTTTCCCTCCCACGAGGCCTCACTGGCCCCCACCAAGAATTCTAGATGTGCGCTCAGTCTGAGTTTTCTAGTTTCTAGAGGCAGGGAGAAGGCCTTGTCCTGGGAGCCAAGCACCAGACTCAACTCTGACTGCCCGTCACCCCTTTGGGCTTGTTCCTCTAGGGAGCAGCGTGGGGCCCAGGCCTACTGGGGAGGAGTGGAGGGTTTGCTCAGCACATGGGTGGTGTGATTGAGGCAACCTAACCATCGTAGGTGGAACTGTTAGCAGGAGGTCAGCAGGACCTGGAGCAGGGTGTCCATGGGGCTGGTGGCCTGGCCCTTGGAGCCGGAGGAAGCTTACATGTTCATCTATTTGTAGGTGAGGCCTGGTGGGTGAGCTGGGCACCCTCCTGTCTGGCCCACCCACAGTGAGCTGTCCCTGCCACTCATCAAGACCAGTGGCTTAGGAAGATGAACCTGCTGGAGTGGTCTGGACTCACCCTGGTCTCGGTGGGCCAAGCCTTGCCCACCTTCTTGGGTCAGGGCAGAAATCTCTGCTTATGTCCAGACCTTAGGTGGCCTTGTCCTGGGTCCCATAGGCCCCTGCACACTGGGGTATCCAGCCCCTAGGCAGGTGCTGGGCTGGTGTTTTCACCTCTATGGCTGAGGGGGCTGCTGGGTGTCAGACCATTCCACTTGTGTGGTAGAGCCACATAGGAGTTGGGGCTTCTTTCTGGTCACAGCGTGTTGGCCATGTTGGGTCCTGGCTGGGTCAGTTCTCTGCCTTCAGAGCCACTCTGGGGCTGCGTTTCTTCAAGTAAAGATGGCCAGGCGCCTGCCTCCTGCCATCCTATAGCTGGAATTGGAGGCCTGGCTGGTGGGGCATCCTCCCTGGGGCTTTGACTCCTGGGGCTGAGACAGCAACAGCCATGGAATGTTTGCTCTCCTCCTTCCCTGTTATCTGTGAGGTGACCTGACGGGCTTTGTGGAGGCAGCATGTCCTCCTGATAGCCAGGCAGGCCCCTGGCCAGAGAGCTGTCCCTGTTCCTAAGCAGAGATGGGGGGTGGGGGTGGGGGAGTGAATATGGACTTCAGTCCTGGCCTGTCCCCAGCTCCATGCCAGTTTTCCCTGAGGTCACCTAGGTGCTCATCTTCTGAGGAGGCCTTGGGGGGTCGCTGCCTGCTTGGGGGCTCTGAGGCAGGGGATGCAGTGAGGAAGAGCTAGAGTTGGTCAGATGCCCAGGGTCTCACCTCTCCCGCTTTCTCTCCCTCATTCCTCAGATGCTACTTTGTCACCTGAATGGAAAATGGGTCAGGTCCTGGCAAGGGAGGGGCTGCCTGAGCAGCAGACAGCGCGACGCTGGGTGCCTGCCTGGAGCGCAGGGTTCAGATTCCCACTTGTGCTCCTTGGGCCCAGAGGCGCCTGGTCCCCTCCCTGCCATCAGCTCACTGGAGCAGGCAGGTGGCCAAGCTTGGGGCAGAGTAGGCTGAGCTCAGGGCTGGTGCCGCAGGCCCAGAGCAGATGTGTGACCAGTGCCTGTCTTCGCAATAGCCCTGACTCTACCCTGCGCCTCTGAGCCAAGGAAGCAGCCCACCAGCCACCGAGAAGCAGTGACAGCACAGGAGCTCCTCTGGGGGGAAGGGAGGAAGGAGGAGGAACAAAGGCGAGCGTGCTGGCACCGCCCTCCCAGCCCGCCCACCATGTGTCAGTCAGAGGCACGGCGAGGACCGGAGCTCCGAGCAGCGAAATGGTGAGATGCTGCCGGCGGCCTCCTAACCCCGCTGTGCCCCGCCACGACCTCCGCAAGGTCAGAGTTCACGTCCAGCAGCCCCGAGGTGAGGGTGGTTGCAGGGTCCTGGGGGATCAGCTCCCGAGGTTGGAGGGGCCTGGCCTGGGGGGGGCCTGAGTCGGAAAGCCCGCTTCAGGTACTCAGGGAGGCGGATCTGGCTGGTGGCCCAATGTGTGTGCTGCACCTTAACTGCTGCCCGCCACCCCCACCCCTGGGCACCCCCACCCTACACATGTGCTGTGCAGCTCTTCAGGGATTGGTCCCTGTGCTTCTGCAGTGAGCAGGGTGGTGGGGGCAGTGGGAGTGAGGAGCAGTGATCTGTTCAGGCTTTGCTCGGCCCCTACTACCCTTGGGACCTTTTTAAAACAATGGGGTGGGATGGGAGAATGAATGCAGGGAGCTGGGTGCAGTGAATATGCAGCACCTTCGTTGCCATCACTGCATTGGGCCCGGCCATCGGCTCATTTCTCCATTTTTTCTTTAGTATCAACTGAGGTGGCTCTCCTTAGT